TATTTGTAAAATAAAAATTAAAATAATTTATATTTTTATTGTATAAATTATGTATGATGAATATGCAACAATAATCTATATATATAATTACTAGCTCATGTGTATTTAATAGAACCTCAAAAAAATTTCCTCCAAAAGAGGTTACTTCACATTAATTAAGTATTTATTTAGTTTTATTTATTTTATTATATAGCAATTACTCCTAACAAATCATAAAGCCACATTAAATGCAATTATAATTTTTTTTTCAAACTATTTATTTGTTTTTTTTTTTTTGGTTTTAACTCATTCAACAACTTTTTTTTATCAACATGAGTTATTTAATTTTTATGATATAACCAAAATTTTCAAAATTTCGATACTATAAGAATAATTATTTCAATATCATTTATCTACTCAATTGTTCATACTAAAAAAGTATTGCAAAAATTATATAACTGCAATCGATATAAAAACTAATATGTAAGTTAATAGTTTATACTTGTTTTTTACTAATGATAAAATTTATAAAATTTGATATGCTATTATCTAACTTTTGATTTTAAATATTACATGCACATTACATATAACATATAAACTTATATTTGCATCTGTGCATGTGCACAGGATCGAATACTAGTAAATAACTAACAAAGTGATAATTAGTTCAAATGGTGCCATATTTTTACACTAAATTTATAAAAAAAATATCTTGTTAATTACGTTTTTAAAAATTATACATGTTTAAAATTGATATTATTTCCAACTGCATATATTTGATTTTTTTTAACCAAAACAAGTTTTATTGTATGGTGATTATACTTTCTATTTATAGAGTCACTGTCTCACGCCTATCAATTTTTCAAGTATTTTAAATTCATTTAATTAATAATTCAGAATTTAGGTAGAAATGTATTATTTTCTAACTTTATGCAATATAAAATTATTTTATTATATTTAATGATGATACTCTTTTATATTTAATATTTCAAATAACATAATAACATTCATTTTTTATATAATTTATTTAAATTGAGAAATAATATTTTATAATTCCTTAAAATTTATTTTATATGATACTTAAATTTTGTTTAAAAAAAATCATGGAAAAATAATAAAATGACTATTTTATGGTGTATTACTGAATTAGATATTTATTTTCTTATAAAATAATTTATATTGTTATTTTATGTATTTTATATTGAGTTGACAATAACAACTAATTTTATTTATAAATGTATATTAAATTATTAATTATTTTATATTACTCAATGGTAATTTTAAATTTATAGTAATTGCTTAGTTTAGCATCAACTTTTATATAGTAGGATAATTTTACGATTTACAAATTAATGATTTACTTTCATATTGTTCCAATTTACATAAGTTATATTCTACAATTAATTAGCTACAATTTGGTAACATTCCAATTACATGACTTATAATCTGCGATTAATGAAGTTAAATTAATTTACCCATAATTTGCAAACAAAATGACAAAATAATAAAACTTATAGCATTAATTTATCTCAAGTGCACTATAACAAAATACATAGTCAAAACATGTACAAATTCAAACATGTAAATTCCCCTAGTCAAATCATTACGACGAAATGAATATGTTTCTTAACATGTTGATTTTGTACGTATATATGTTTCTTAACATGATGAATATGTTTCTTTGTAAAATGAACATGTCAACTTATACAATGAACATGTTATGTTAGAAGATTAATATGTTTTATTATCAGCTGAATAGGTTAAATTATAAGATGAACATGTTTTTTTCTCAGATGAACATGTTTATTAACACGATGAATATGTTTGATTTTGTACAAGATGAATAAGTTGTTCTTGTACGAAATATGTTTCTTAACAAGATGAATATGTTTCACTGTAAAATGAACATGTCAAATTATAAGATGAAGATGTTATGGTATAAGATGAAATACACACGCGGGCCAAGGCTAATAAAGGGATTCACTTTTATTTGCTACCTGAAGTACATGCGCCAATTTTAAAAATTAATTACAAACCTGCAACTTCCATTATCGCGTCTTGATTTCCCAAACCAGCGAAGCAAAAATTCAATTGTAACTGGCGAAGCAAAAATTAATTACTATCCAACGAAACAAATTTAATTACAAACCCGGCGAAGCAAATTGTAAAACCCGGCGAAGCAAATTTAATATATTATAGTGATACAAAACATGATAAAATAATTTACAACAAAATTGTAAAGCTACATTTAAGAAAATCGGTTTTATAATTATTTCAAACTTTAGATTTTCATGAAACATAATAATTATTTATATTAGTGCAAATTATAACTAATTTATGTTATAATTTTATCAATAAAGCCCAATATAAGTATGGATTTTATTTCCTTCTTCATAAAAGGGTTAGTTAAATAGTTAAAGTTACTACTTTTTTATTCAATCCAGATCTGTTGGGAACATAATTTTTTTTTTATTATTGTGGTTAATGTTTTGAAATTGATTCAATGTCATTTTTCATTAAAAAAATATTATTTAAATTTTTTAGATGGTATTTCAAAGTTGATTTCAATATCATTAATTACAATTAATCATGTCATCTATTTAAAAAACAAAAATAAAAGAAATTTGTATTGTTGTTTTATTTTTATTCTAAATGGCTCTAGGCATCCGTTTAGGTGCTAGACGACGCTTATACACTATGATTTTGTTTTAGGCGGTCATGCTATGCACTCAAAATAACCCTAAACCTTATCCTTAAATCATAAAACATATTCATCTTATAACATAACATCTTCATCTTATAAATTGACATGTTCATTTTACAGTGAAACATATTCATCATGTTAAGAAACATATTACGTACAAGAACAACTTATTCATCTTGTACAAAATCAACATATTCATCGTATTAATAAAAATGTTCATCTGAGAAAGAAACATGTTCATCTTATAAATTAACATATTCAACTGATAATAAAATATATTCATCTTATAAGTTGACATGTTCATTTTACAAAAAAAAAAACATTTTCATCATGTTAAGAAACATATTACGTAACATATGTTGATTTTGTACGTAATATGTTTCTTAACATGATGAATATGTTTCTTTGTAAAATGAACATGTCAACTTATAAGATGAACATGTTATATTATAAGATGAATATATTTTATTATCAGTTGAATATGTTAAATTATAAGATGAACATGTTTCTTTCTCAGATAAACATGTTTATTAACACGATGAATACGTTGATTTTGTACAAGATGAATAAGTTGATTTTGTACGTAATGTTTCTTAACATGATGAATATGTATCATTGTAAAATGAACATGTGAAGATGTTATGTTATAAGATGAATATGTTTTATTATCAGTTGAATATGTTAAAATTATAAGATGAAAATGTTTCTTAACACGATTAATATGTTGATTTTGTGCAAGATGAACATGTTTCTTAACATGATCCAGCTGAGTAATATTTTAATTATTAAGACTTAAAATATTTAAACTTTGTCATTCTTAAAATATTTTTTTTTTTCATTCAATAATTACTAAAAAATATCATGATATTTTAATTATTATCACTTTATTTGAGTCACCGATTTTGAAGATGTCTACTAAATAAATAGTGAGATTAAAATTTTAATGTATTAAATATTTTATTTATTGATAATATCTTAAGATTCTTAAATGATTTATGGTTTTCTTAATAAGTTTTCTTAATAAACTAGATGATATGCACTCATTTATCTTATTATTTGAAAGGTTAGCATATGGTACTTTGATTTTCCGTGTTGTAAACTAATTTGTGTTCAGAATTCCGAGAACAATTTGTGATAAACACAAATTATTTCTCTTTACCAGACATTATGACTCTTCTAATCACAAGACATAACAAGAAGGCAGGTTACAGATTTGATTAACTTTGGTGATAACAACCCACCCAACTTGAAATTTCCCTATTTACATCCAGGAGTGAAGAAAAATAATTTGTTCTTTCTTCGATCTAATGGTGTTTCATAGGTTTTAGATTTTTATAAACAATATAAATATTTTCTTAAGAAAAAAATATAGTATGATAAATCCCGTGTAATAGAGACTTTGAACTAGTAACAAACAACCATCAGTAACTATCCGGAAAAGGCACTATAATCACTTATTAACTCATTTTCCAGAAAAAAGTTCTCCATATGTTAACCCATCAGCATACTAAATTTACTTGAAATGATCAACTCCCTGCAGAGCAATTCAAGTAACTTTCAGAAAATCATGTCTGAGAGTGAGAGAACATAATATAATAAGACAGAATGTCGGAATCACAGATGATTGATTAGAGACGGGGAACCTGAAACAACATAAGAATCTTCAAGACCATAGGTAATCTCAACTGAAACAGGCATCAATTGATGACTCCCAACCTGGAATGGAGAGAGAAAATCAGGGCATCAGAAAATCATTACACGATATTGTTTTAAGACCAATACAAGAATTGGAAAAAAGAAAACATAATATATTCTTGTTAGGTGAATGTCATAATCTTGAAACTTTGGGAAGTAATTGTATGTTGAAAAGGTAAAAGGACCTGCTGGAAGTAAGTAAATTGAGTTATTTCAATCCCATCCCAAATTTCCCAGCCCAAGCCCTAGGTACTTAAGACCTTCCAAAAAAGAAAATTAAATAAAATAAACCACAACATAAGTAATATATTCAGCAAGCTGAACTAACAAACTGTAAGCTGCACAGAATGAGGTCTAAATATTCCCCCCACGCAACCTGAGAATTATGTTATGTACCAGATATGTGTAGTCTATATTATGTAAAGCAATTAATTCAAAGTCCTTACCGGGATTTCCCAATTGTCCTTGACAAAACGAAGATCATGGCCATTTACGTTAACTCCTGTCAACCATTAAGTAGAAATTGTAGGTCAGGAGTAAAAACATACGTGAAATAGTTTCAATCTTGTCATGACAGTGATCTTCATGACATATATTATCATTGTAAGTGGTGTGACATAGAAACTATGGCCGCTAAACTCCGAATAAATACAAAAATAGTGAATTTCCAGGGTCAGGCTTCAATATCACCTGCGATTAGTTTGAGGATTGAATGTCAAAAGCTAATATAAACCATGAAAGTGCTTTTAAAGATTTTCATAGGCTATCATGGTTCTACGCTTAGCATCCTCCAAAAGGCACCTGAAATTGTGTGTGCCTTTGAAGTCTGTTTGGATTTTCCCCATAACGACTATCTTCAGGTCAAATACAATAAGAATCAAAATGTTGGAGGCTACAGGGTGAACCAATAAGAACCGAGATGATTATTGTATCAGGGAGTAAACATATGAGAATAGTGCGGTAGACAAACTTCAACGTTTAGCTTACTTCGAAGCAAATCTGCTTTCTGCAGCTTCTCCTGATTTTTTGTGGAATTACGAGCAAAAAGGCACTTCAATTTAACAAAAGATTGCACCTTTTTTCTCTCAATCATAGCTGTAACCAAACCCAGATTGCTATTTCAGTTTTATTCTTTCTAAATCTTTAAAAATCCAAAAAAAAAAAAATAAAGCATAAGTGATTTATCCCACACATCATGTTACTCAAATGCATATCAGACAAGAAATGAGAAAATTCCCCCAAAATAATAACAAAACAAATACGAAGAAAAAAGGAAAAATACTTGTTTCTTGGTAACTGAATGAGCATTGAGCTGGAGAGTGAGCGTGGATGTCAGGGAGGCGCTGGGGATGTCGGGCGGTTGCAATTTTAGCCGCAGATCTTGGATCGAATGGTTAAGAGAAGCCAATTTGCGATCGACCTCTTGGGCGTGAGGGATTGAATTTGGATACTTCCCGTCATCGCTCCGCCTGCCGCCGCCGCCTCCGACGACGTCTGCCGCCCACGCAAGGAGACCGACCATTTCAGAAGCTCGGCTTGAATTTATTGTTAGCTTGTGAAAATTGCCTAGAGCTACTGGTGTGATTGGATTTTCCCAAAAAAATTCTGATTAAGATTGAATCCTGTAATTTTAGACTGAATAGCTGTCTTCTTATTCTTCTTCTTCTTCTTCTTCTTCGTGGTCGTGTTCACGAGAGGAAAATTGGGTTTGGACAATTTTCCTTTTCATTTTTTTCGTTTCTTTGTACAGTGACGTATTTGAGATAATTAATTATATTTAGGTTCAATGTTAAAAAATGAATAATTAAACACCTTTTAAGTAAATTAATTAAAAGTTTACAATGTTTTTTCTTTAATTTTTTTAAGTAAGGGTATTTTTGTATTTTCAACAGGTACTTTTTTGATTTTTTATTTAATTAAATGAAAAAAGGACACGTGACACTCACTTAAGGGGTACCTGTTGTTAAATAGGTACAAGCCAAAGTACAAGGTTACCTGACTGTAGAATAGCCCTACCAAGTAAGTAACTTGATAAATTCAAATAAACTTCTTTTCTAAGTTTTTAATTTTTCATGATTTTTTAATTGTTAAACATGTGTAGCAACTTTAAATCACTTCAACATAACCATGGTTCTAAACTTCTAATTATCTTCTATTTATATTAATGTGACTCGATTATTTTGCAATAATTTTACTATATTCTCTATGCAAGCGTCGCAAGCATCTAATTCGTCGATTGTCTTAATTTTCTTTTCGATCTTTTTCAAATCACAAATCTCAACATTAAAATATCATATTACCGCTTCGTAATCTTGTTGGAACCCGACCAATCAAATAACATGAACACATATGGTTTTAAGTATATCTTACAAGAATATAACATATTTTATTTTATTTTTAGATTTATATAAATTTGCATATCGCTCAGACGTATATATAATTGAGCGACCCAAAGATGATACAACAAATATGTTGAAATCATTTTCAGTAAACCAAATTGAGCGACGCTGATCAGATGATTATGTTCAGTAAGAGGATGATTAAGTTTGTACAAAGTAGATGATGTCTTCACAAGTCTCAAGACAATCACATATCGGGTAAAAATTCATCAAGAACCGACGTCGTCGTCAATTGACCGATATCTCATGTCGGTTATGACATGTCGGTTACTACATGTCAGATATGACGTATCGGTTATAATTACACAAGCCGATATTTAGGACTTGCCAAACTGACACCATAAGGCGGTGCCAACTCAACACAACTCATCATTACGCTTGGCCAAGTGGCGCGCTACCAGGATGAATGGCAATTAGCCGCCGTTGACTATTCCTATGTAATGATGACATTTCGGATAAATGCTGTAAATGAATATAAACGGAAGGAGAAGATTCTCCAGCGGGATATATAAAAAAAAGAACGCTTAATAATATTCAGAGAATACCATTTTCAATCAACTTTTCGATCTTTGTTGATTCAATTGAAACATACGATAATCTTTGATTATCAGATAGTTGTTAATTTCCATTTAACAACAGTTTGGCGCTAGAGGAAGGGCCTCATCACGTTTTGAGGTTAACTTTCGCTGTTAAAATCATTTTCGCGCTTGAAGTCATCATGTCGCAATCTGGTCGAGACCATACAGCTCATCCTGGCCAGAGTCAGTCGACTAACCATTCCCCACGGCGTCCAACACCACCTCCTCCGGTTACGAATATCACGAACTTTCTTCAAAACCCGGAGTTTATTCAAGGTTTAACCTCTTTGATAGCTCGAGCCATGCCCGGAAACTCGAGTACGGTGCCATTATCAACGCCATTAACTACCAATCCAACAGAACATCCAAATCATACTCGTCACGACCCCGAAACACATGCGGCGACATCCTATGCTACGTCACAACCCCATCATACTTCTCCACGTCGAGAAGAGTTAACTCGTATAAATGCTAACCCAGTAACAAACAATCAAGCCCCGGAGGAACCCCCGTACAGGAAATGACTGCTGAAAGCCACTCTGCTCATCATCAGCGAATTCTGTCACGTCCTAGACTCACTTCACCAATGCCTCATGTTCGTGAAGATTTGCGGCGCCAGATTGAACGGAATCGTATTTCAAGACACAGTGCAGAGGAAATTGAAGCTCTCCGTAAACGCTTGGCTGAACTCGAGACTCGACAGAAGTCATAGAAAGATTCCCCCCGACATGTCTCGACGTCGGGAAATGTCATTATTGAAGCTGATTCACCTTTAGCTCCAGAACTTACCGCCGAGGCACTTCCTGCTAAGGTAAAAATCCCACAAATTGGCATGTATGATGGAACATCGGACCCAGATGCGCACTTGGGTCATTATACGTCTTGGGTGGATTTGCATGGTGCCTCAGATGCTCTGAGATGTCGGATGTTTTCGCTTACACTGGGGCCACGAGCGCAAAAATGGTACTATATTCTCCCACCTCATTCAATTTGGAAGTGGCAACAGTTACGTGCGGCCTTCCGATCACACTTCATCGGAGCTCAAATTTGTCTCATCCAAAAGAATCAATTACTAACATCGTGCAAAAGGACGACGAGACTGTTAAGGACTACGTGTCTCGCTTCAACGACCGAATTCAAAATATGGAGCCTTGTCACCCTGAGACCCTGTTAGTAACCGCAATCGCTGGACTGAAGCCTAACTCGATGTTTCGCTGGACCCTGTGCCAAAACAAACCGGCTACGTTTCAAGAATTCCTTGTACGAGCTCAACAATTCATTATTGCCGAGGAATCGATGTCGGTTCTCAATTTCGACTTCTCGGCGAAAGAAAACAAGACTGAACCGGACGCTAAAAAGAAGAATAAGAAGAACTTTGGGAAAACACAATTTCGGAATTTCTCCAAAGGATATGAAAACACTCCAGAGTCTAGGGCCGCTCGCGATCAGTATTCAGAAAATGTCAGGACAGGCTATCAGGCCGTTTATTCAGCCGGAGCAGCTACTATATACGAAGAACTGAAAGGAAAAGGGATTATTCCAGACCCGAGACCTGTGAGAACCCCTGAAGACAAGTTGGACAAAACTCGATACTGTGCATATCACTAGTCTCCGGGACATAATACCGATGAGTGTCTCGGTCTTTTGTCAGCACTCTTACGGTTAATTGGACAACCTCAGCTTCAAAAGTTCCGAAATTTTGATAATCGCCGGAAAGGGAGACCCTTGGATCTTTCAGATGATGAAGATGATGATAATCGACCTGTTAACCCGAAAAGAGCTCGTGCAAACGATAAGGAGGTTTTCACATTTTCTACTCTTGTCGGAACTTCCACTGATAACTGCAAAAAATCCAGGACACGTGATACCTCAGACTCTTTACATTGCATACCTCGAGTCAATTCCAATAATAAACAGCTGGACACTTCTCGACGGAAAGCCAAAGCCTATGCCAGGGAGGCACAAAACGCCGAGAAACGAGTCATGAACGTTGATCTTCGAGATACCATTAATAATCGGAATTGCCCTATCACATTCAGTATCGAAGATGCCAACCTATTTGCTCATCCTCATTCCGACGCCCTTATTATAACAGCCCCGATTGGAGGGATTCCTGTTCACCGAATTTTGGTCGACACAGGAGCTTATTCAAGTATTCTGATGCTCCGCACTTTTAAGAAATTGGGTTTGGACCCAACAGATATTAGACCTTGCAACGACCAAATTCAAGGTTTCAATGGAAGCATCTCTTGTCCCGTCGGCGAGATATCGCTCCCTATTCGATTTGGCAGTTTTGGACCAAGGTCCAAGGTTATTATGTAAACTTTCAAAGTCTTGGACGTCCAGAATGAATATAATGCTGTTATAGGGCGAAGTGCGCTTTACAAGCTCCGTGCTGCCGTGTCGATTTTTCATTACGCCTTGAAGTTCCCTACCATTGAAGGAGAAGACACTCATTACGGGGATCAACGAGAAGCTCGAAGTTTGATGTTGCTTTCAACCTCGCGCAACTTTCATATGATTGAAGAGCAGGGTACTAATAACTCTATTGGGTTGAACAACCCAACCCCTTCTGATACTGAAAGAACTAATCAATTCGCTCCAGATACCGACATCCCTCTTGCAGATACCGATGTCCCTATGACGTCGGGTTTGCCTGAAACACTAGATGAAGCCCCTGATCGAGAACAATCTTCTCATGAGAAAGACATAGGAATACACGAAGATATGGATCCACGGATGCAGTTCAAAGATGGAAATCAGCATGTTCGAGCGGAACCAGTTGAAGACATCGAAACTATTTACGTGGATGGATTGACTCAAGAAAAGTCATTGCGCATTGGAGATAACCTTCAAGAACCCACACGGACGTGCTCAATTCAGTTTCTTCAGTCAAATTCCGACGTATTCGCTTGGAAGCATGAAGACATGAAAGGAATAGACCCGCAGAAAGCATGTCATCGCTTAAATTTGGATAAGACCGTCAAGCCTGTCATACAGAAACGTCGAAAATTCGGTCCAGATCGCCAGAAGGCCCTTGAAGAGGAAGTGAACAAGCTCATAGACAATAAGTTCGTCAAAGAAGCCAAGTACCCGACGTGGATATCAAACCCTGTCTTGGTTAAGAAAGCCACCGGCCTTTGGCGTCTGTGCATTGACTTCTCGGATTTGAACCAAGCATGCCTGAAAGATAGCTATCCAATTCCATGCATTGATTACATGGTAGATGCTACATCGGGACATCAACTCATGAGCTTTTTGGATGCCTATTTCGGTTATAATCAAATTCCCATGCACCCTGATGATGCTGAACATACATCGTTCTACTCAGCCCGAGGTCTTTATTGCTATGTCATGATGACTTTCGGATTGAAGAATGCTGGGGCCACATACCAAAGGTTGGTCAATAAGATGTTTGCTCGATTGATCGGTCATACAATAGAAGTTTACGTAGACGACATGCTGGTGAAATCGGAACAAGCCTTTGATCACATCGCTCATCTTTCTGAGGTCTTTGACATTCTCCGAGAATATTCCATGGTGCT